CTGTTCATACTTATTTTGAATATGAATTTCATAATGCACAGAAGCTTTGAAATAGATTCTAGTTAGCTTTAATAGTAGTGTGACTGCTTAGGAAAGCCATTAGTTGGGACACTGGCTTGTGCAGTTGGTTGACCATTGTGAGAAAAAACTGCTGGACTAGGTGGGCCAGGGATCTGATCTGGCAAAGTACTAATTATGTGTTTATGTTGTTATGTACCATGAACACTTTATTGTTATGATTACAACTGAGAGTCTCTTTTGTGAAGTAGGTAAAGTATTATTTAGATACTTTAGATATTACGCTAGGAGGCACTTCAATGTTTCATTTAGAAATTTCAAGTATATTACAAAATCTTTTATATTCATAGTCAGGACATCTAAACTTTTCTACTTTTATATGAAGAAGAGAAAATTGAAATCTAAGAGAAATATCTAGATCATTCAGAGTTTACAAGAGAGAACATATGTGTTCTGAGGACAGGGTGCTATAGACCAAATCGTAAATTTTATCAAACTGTCAAAATGGATGAAACTACTCAATGTCACACAAATCAAGATAAAGTTAGAATTTAGGAGTAGGTGGTAGGTGAGATGAAATGCTTATATACAGTTTATAACATCTTACAGCAACAACGTAGAGTTTTGAGAAGTATGAACTTCCATTTGTCATAACAAAGCAGAGTGTATTTTAAATACATCAAACCATGATTGGTATCTTTTGTCTGAGAATGTCATTTAATCAGCTTGACTGAATATATAAAACAATACAGGAAGCTTCTGGCCATAAAATGAAAATAAAATAAATAAAAATAAAAAGCCATAAAATAAAGAAAATATGTTTGTATTAAATTTCACTTTTAGGAGATAATGATTCAGAATCTGAAAAAAAATCCCTTCCAAGTTAAATTTTTAGTTCAAATTAGGCATATTTTTCTACTTGTTATGTGTACATTTCTCAGTTATAATCACAACCATCAGCGAAAAATGCAATAAAAGCACAGACTTTCTTTTAATTTCTGATTCTAGATATGCCTTCCAGACTAAACAAACCCTGATAGGCATTTCACAGAACATCCACATTGTCTAATATTTGCTGTAGAGAAATATTTTATAAGCTTCTTGCAAAAGACCAGTAGGAAACGTCTACATTGCAACATCCCCTAGACATAAATGGAGGCCTGCATTTGGCTGAATACTTTTACACTGAAAATGTATAGTCCAATCTTGAACTATGGCATAGACACACCAATCACTTTATTACAAGCATTTATCTGTATGTACTTATAATCACTTAGCAGGTTCGAAATGCTCCAAATATTATTATAACCGAAAACTTGGTTACTCTTTTCTTTCAAATCTATACTATTTTTTCAAAAGTGAAATGATCATAAATTTATATAAAGTCTTTCCCTATAATTATATAAGCCTATTACTGTTTATTTTCAATTCCCTTCCTAATGGCTCTAAGCAGAAATTTGCCTATTATAGTACTTCAACACTAAACTTTGTTTTCATTTTTTCATAAAGCCATTCACCATGATTTCAATTATTACCAGCTTAGATTCTTTATTGTATATTTGTAACAATGTTCATCCACTTGCTCTTGCTAACACTGAATTGCATTTACTATTTGGAGCCCCGGGTCCCCAGTGAAGTTGGCTCTTTTTTATGCATTTGGCAATTTCTTTTAAATTTTACTATTCTTATACAGGTAGCTCTTGACTTATCACCACCATTGAGCTCCAAATTTCTGTTGCTAAGCAAGACAGTTGTTAAGTGAGATTTGACTCATTTTACAACTTTTCTTGCCATAGTTATGAAATGAATCACCGTAGTTATTTAGTATTATGTTTGTTAAGTGAATCTGGCTATCCCATTGATTTTGCTTATCATGGTGTTGCAAAAGGGGATCACATGACCCCGGGACATTGCAACCGTCATAAATATGAGTCAGCTGCTAAGCATCCGAATTTTAATCACGTAATCATGGGGATGCTGCAACGGTCATAAGTATGAAAAATGGTCATAAATCACTTTTTTGATGCAGTTGCTTCAAATGGTCACTAAGTGATCTGTTGTAAGTTGAGGACTACCTGTATTTGGTATCATATGCACATATGACCACCTCATTACTCATTAATAACTTTATTTATATTCGTATTAAATGATTATTGGGCTATTTCTTACATATCTCTCCAGTGAGAAAATAGGGCATTTTTCCTAATCTTTCATAGAATAAATCTACACTATATTCCAATTAAGCTGAGAGTGAGGAAGAGTTCCCACATACATTATAAAATGGATATACTATATCCAGATTAAGTTAATTAACTAATGGTCTTTTAAAATTAATATGTTACTTTCCAATGATATACTACCTTCTAGATCTTTATTTTTGAGGATTTTGAGGAAACCAATTAATGTGGGAGACAGAAACCTTATTTCTATACTCTGACCTTGAAAAGTTTATATACTTGCTGGATAAGACCACCCTGGCAAATCTAGATAAACAGAGTGTAAAACATCACCATCAAAATACTAATTGACTACCCCAAGGGATCTTTTACTAGCATTTTAAAAAATAGTTAAGACTTTGCAAGTCAACTCTATTCATTTTGTGAACCTGGTAAATCTTCAACTTTCCAATAATTTATCAGCCAGTAAAAGATAATATTTTACACTGCCTGCATTTCCTTCTGCTACAGTCATCAAATAAAAACATAATGCACTTATGGTTAAGGGGTCAAATTACTCTGCAGGAAATGGGAGAACAGAAAGCAAAAAAGGCTTATGAATGGTTGCACAGTCACTTCTTTTTAAATATATTTAAGATTTTGACAAGGGTAACAAAATAGCAAGCTGGCACTTTCATATTAACAAAAATAATGAATAGTTGTAACAAATTCTGCTAGTTCAGTGAGGAGGTGTTGAGTTAATCTGTGTAGATAACAGGAGACTTTGAATTTAAGAGCGTTTATAGCAATACAGCTGTCATTTCATGCTTATGGAGAATATTTGCTAATATTGATGAACTAAAGAAAAAATCAGAATCATGAAGTTGCAAAAAGCTCATGACAAGGAATATAAGAATAAATGAAGAAATATAATTTAGAATAGATTCTGCATATCTTAATATGGTACATCAAATTGAAACTCCAATAGTATATTATCTTGTGCAACATTTGTCTTGTTCACCATATATCCATTTATAAAAGGAACAGCTATTACAGTCAGATCAGAGAAGGCTTGCAGGGCATATAATAGAATATTTTATGATTGAGAAATTATAATCTACAAAGTGGTACTCATGGTTCTCAGCAATAACTGTTGTTGTGGTCCTCAGTAATATTGTTATTGTTGTTATCAACCTTAATCTTTTCACTTTAGACCTCTTTATTAAAGTATATGGATGATAGTCTCCCACACTGTTCGACTATGGATTGATAGCCAGATGTTTTCAACTTCTCAGTTTAGGGACAAAAGACAGTGACTAATCCTAAATCACCCCTACTGCTTTTGTGTACTGTACAAGGAGAACTACAACCTGGATCTCCCTTATTCTAACCAGCACCTTAATCACTATAGCACACTGGCTCTCAATTGTGTTATATGAGCGTGGAAACAAAACAAAGCAACAAAGAAGGGACATCAAAAATCTCTAGATATCGCTAAATAGATTTATTTAGATTTCAGAGAACTAAAAGGGCTTTTGTTGACAGCAGATCCAAATGTTTCTGTGTTCACTAGGAAAACCAGGAAACTGACAAAAAAAGACAAATAAAACTATAAAAAATAATATGCTGCTATCATAGACCAGAAATGCCACGTGAAAAAGCAGTTATACAGCAAATGTTCTCCCAAGGAAACTGTATGTTGGAAAACATCACCAGTTGAGAATTGTACATTGGTATGTAGTGACAAATGCTTTCAGGCTCTTTCTTCAAGCTTAGAGAAGGGCAAAAGACACTTATTGTGCTTGGTCCCTTACACCAGGGGTGCCCAACCCCCAGTCCATGGACCAGTACCGGGCCGCAGCATGCCAGCAACCAGGTCGCACAAAAAAGCAAAGCCCCATCTGAGGGATGCAGGCTGCACACAAAACTACGCACCCTCCAATCTGCGGAAAATCTTCTCTCCACAGAAACGGTCCCTGGTGCCCAAAAGGTTGGGGACCTCTGCCTTACACTACAGAGTAATCACATAGACCTGGAGGTCCTTCTCATAAAGCACAGAAAGCCAGACTTATTTTCAGACAAAGGTCAACAGCTGTTCTACCACAGCTGTTCTTACATGACCCCCCCCAAAAGTTCAATTCAACAAATGGAAACATAGCACATTAAAATTTCACTAATTTCTGACACAACCCATTCAATGAATGAAAACCCTTTTTTTGCCCCATCAGGTTCTTTCACACAATACCTGGTATCATATAAAGGAATTCATTGAAAAAAACATTGAATATGATCAGATAGCATCGTTGAATTAATTTCACAATTTAGAAACATTTAAAATGGTCTGTGAAAATGTCAATTTTTACTCCTAGTGACCTCACAGATCTAGGCATACAATTTTCTTGACAAAAATATGAAATGTTTTGCTATTGCCTTCTATCACAATTTTTTGTTTAAAACATTCCCAGTCAAGTCTATAAAGTTGATCCAACTCTGGCTAACATTTTCAAGATCAGCAGAGGATGCTACAACCTGCTGAGATTAATTATGATATCATACAACAAAGTTTAAGTTTAATATATTGTATGATATATTTAAGTTATACAATAAAATCTAAAATCCCCAACTAATATGATTAGAACATATGGGAAAGTATAGATAAGATGAAAAAATATCTCATTTAGTCGTAGTCATTATGTACATATACTGTTCCTTGTTTGTTTTTGCGTTATCTGAAATTCATTTTAATTAAGGTGAATATTTCATCACATATTTCGGACATTATTGTAATTGAACAGAACTGGGTTATTACAAAGATTGGTCACTTACTTTGGAAAGATGGCAGTCATCAAAGCAGAAGCATACCCAGGCTTGCAAACACCCTCTGAGATATTACCATATTTTGATACTATTTCTGGAGGCCTGTAAAAAATAAAAGTGTTATGATCATCCTAAGAAATAAATGAAAAGTGGATCAACTAAATCCTTTTATCATTAGCTTTTCTGAATAGCAGCAACAGGAACAGAAAAGTCTTATGAAATTAAAATAGGATGTCATCAAATTGTACCAGGTGGCTTCTGGTATGTAGTGTATTTCCTTGCCATTTTGGAGTTTGGACTCCAAAAATATAAGGAAAAATATTACCTTTTTGTTCTGGAGTTACTATGTAATACTATATTACTATGTAATTTTATTACTACATAAACTAGTAAACTATTACTGTGTTACATTTACTATTATTTATTATTATTTATATGACTACAGTTTGACCGTTCAATTCTCAGCCTTCCATCCTTCCAAGTTTTGGTAAAATGAGGACCCAGATTGTTGGGGGCAATATGCTGACTCTGTAAACCGCTTAGAGAGGGCTGTAAAGCACTGTGAAGCAGTATATAAGTCTAAGTGCTGTTGCTATTATGTAAATGTTACAATGTAATACTAGAACCCTACAGTAAATCTAACTAAGTTACTATAAATTTCTTCCACCTACTGTGAAAATGGAGAGGTTGTATACCATAACTCCAACATGATTTCCTTTAATCATTTTCTAAGAGCTCAGTCTCTTTCACAATCAGTGGATATATAAAAAGACTGAATTTATATTCCAATTGAGTACAGTTACTATGGTGAAAACAGCTATTTCTGACAGCTTCTTTTTCTAACTGTAGTCTTCATATAGTCAAATAATGAAGGCCTAACTTTCCCCAAATTTCAATGCAAAATTTGAATATAAACAGTATTATTCATATAGAGGATACTGTTTAGAAAAAATCTGCTTCTTCATAGTATTCATGCATGACAGAGGAGCCCAAAATTTCAAGCCTGCATTTCCCAAACTGGTACTCTCCAGATATTCCAGCACATCTAAACCACATTTGGACAATGCAAATGCAAGTAATGAGAAAGTCTGAAGTTAAAATTTAAACTATTCTTAAGATTGTATTCTTCTTTAAGATTTGGCCTTGGATACTTCTTTTATCTATTTATCCTTATATATACTGAGGAGACTGTTTAGACTTAAACAACTGAATTTAAGATATTGGCTAAAAAAAAAACCACCTCTTGTATTTGTGTTTCCTTTCATTCATGGCAGTCTGATTGTCCCATATGAGGAATGAATAGCCGGTCTGGCAAATAAAGACACAATTATATACAAAGTCTCAAGGTCAGAGATAGACTTATTGAACTTTTCTAAGTATAATAAATAGTTCATATTCTGAGGTGTCACAAGCAAAAATAGGTTTGCAGCCAACCACAACTACCAGTACAGTTACTGAGAATTATCACATACCTCATTTTGGCCACAGACTTGATCTGTCTTTTATGTTTCTCATTCTATGTTGTTTTATCCATTTGGGATATTTATTTGCCTGGATCTTTTCATTACTAGACATGATAATGATATGGCCAACTGGGAAATTCATAGCCACCTTGAATATTAGTGAATAGTTACAAACCTCGATCAACAACATGCTTCAGAAGAAAAAACAAAGACTGTTCCTCTTTTGTAATTGAAAGCATTACAGGTAGTCCCCGAGATATGGCTATAATGGAACCTGCCCATTATGGCTGCACGTTGCACCAGTCGTTAGGTGAAACATCTCACCTAACGACCCTCCCATCCCTGTTCTTCCCAATGAAATATAAAACAAATGTGCGGATTGTTAAGTGGAGTGTGGGGTGCCTCCTGGGTGGGAGAGGCTGTTGGAGGTCTAATACAGGCCCAGGGTTGCCTGTCCTGGGCATCCCAAGGCTTCCCCAACCCTAAGATGCCCCATGCTCCATTTCCCATGCCTTGGGTCCTAAGAGGTCTTTTCCTACTCCCACTGGGTCATCCCAGACCTGATTCTCACTCCACCTGGCCAAGCACCATCCTCTTCATTTACCTTTTAAAGAGCTCCGAGGCCTTCCAGAGTCCTGGGATGACTTCTTTGCGTGGTTGCATGGCACAATTCTGAAAACAGCTGCCATTTTGTCTCATCCCCTAAATGGCAGCTGCATTCGGGTCACTGCTGCACAGCCCAAGGACAAAGTGCTTCATTTTGCTGCCTTAACAAACTTGCAGTGGAGACCTCGCTAAGGAAGAAAATGAAACAGTCTGTCTGATGGCTGCTCTTTTGTCCCTGCCCTTTTGTGGGCTGAGACAAAATGGTGGCCGCATTTGGGTCGCTGCTGTATGGTCCAGAGACAAGCTGCTTTGTTTTGCTGCAGATGTTTTCTACAGCATTCAGAAACATCTGAAGCACTGTGCAAACCTCTCTAAGGCAGTAAAATGAAACAATTTCTCTGTCAGCTGCCATTTTGCCCCTGCCCACAAGTGGGTGGGGCAAAATGGCGACCACATTTAGATTGCCACAACCTGGCTCAGAGACACATGTCCTGCCCTACTTCCCCAACATGAGGTCCAAAGAGCTTGAGATGGTAAGTGTGGTGGGGCATAATGTGCAGAACAGGCCCAAATGCTGCAGAGTCCCGGTAGGGTAGGATGCGGGGAGAGAGGCGGGAGAACACTGCAGCAACCTATGGTGGGTTTAAGGGTGGATGATGGCAGGACTGCTGCAGCCATTGTAAGTTTGAAGTCATATGTAGCTTTTGGGGGGGTGTCTATCATAATTTCGAACGTTTGTTAAATGGCCTGTCTGTATGCAACTAATACTCTTGATATGTCAAAAACTATTAGATAAATCCTATCACTTCTAAGATCTGACCACAAACTCCAACCCAAAAACATTACCAGAACAGCTTGTATCAAAATTTAGGAGTGGCATATAATTCTTCAGAATACCCCTGCTTTTTGTGTCATTTGATTTTCATTTTGTCTAAAAATAGAAGCTTTTGACAACAGAAAAATTTGCTAATGGAGTTGAATGCTGTACTGAATAATTAGAAAGCTTAACTTTTGAACCACAATAAATTTTAAATTTTTGCTTCATAATGTAAGTGTCAATGCTGCTAACATCGGATGTTCTTGCTTTGACAACAGATGAAAGTGCAGCCATTTTCTCTATGCTTTTAGAATTAGTTGGTGCTGGGAGGGGGGATTGGGATGAGAGTTCAGTTAGTCATAATAATAATAATAACTCTGCCATGGGAATCCAAGGACAAACTGTGTCTTGAGCTGATAACGTTTAGGTGGGCTGGAGAGCTGGGGAGAAAGCCCATGCTTCAAGCTAACTGGGAAATGTGCTTTTTGACTGTTTACTGTGGGTGGGAATTGTACTTTGTTACTTTGTATCCAGAGGAGGGGAATTTAGTTTTTGGGTTCAACTATGTAGTGCCAATACTTTGTTTCCCAAATAAAAGATTCTTTAAAGATAAACAATGCCTTGAAGTTCTTTTGAAAAGTTTCATCTGTCGGAACCATGACAGTAAGATAAAAATGCTATAATAATGTACAGTGATGTAACATGTTTTTACTAGTACAGGATATCTGTTGCTGGTACATCCAGCCTCTGCTTAAAAACTTTATGTGAAAACTAAAGTTCATTATCTAAAACCAAGTTTTACTATTACTGTAAAATTCATATTGTCATGCATTTTCAAAAAAATGTTTAGAACAAAAAAACCATTTTGCGTGTACTGTACTTGGGACGCTACTGGTTTTAGTTTTAGTTCTTCAATATAAAGAACAATTAGCAACACTCCTACAATAGACCCACTCTGTTTCCAAAATCCCTCAAATCTCATGAGATATATTTCTATGTTCTTATATCATTTTAATTTAATTATTTATTAAAGAGCTTTTATATGAAAAATGCCCACAGTAACGTGAACTCATTCAGGGGACTCCGCCACCAGCTATGAATATTTTGATATGCTTCAGAACTCTCATGAGTGCAGTTGAGTGAACGTTAATCTGCTGTTGTGGAAATCTAGCAGTTGTATTAACATGTTGTGCAAACAAGTCATCTTTTTAACCCAAATAATATAGCTGACTGGATATAAACATGTTAACTGAACATAGCAATTGCTTTCTATTAATTCAGATTTATGATTTAGCATGTTATATGAACTCAGCCAATATTTATCTGCATCAGTGGGAATATCATAGTAAAAGAATTTGCAATTATGAATAAATGTATCCAAATACTTCTATTGTTCATTAACTTTTTATTTATATAGCTTTGGTTCAGATTTATGGTCTCTATACATTTTCTTTCTTTTTAAAAGTTGAACACTAGTTTTCTCCTAGCTCCCTAAAACAGATAGAGTACATATATCACATGCCATATTGAATATTGCTACATGTCAGACAAGGTATTTCTCCACTGGGATAATTTGTATAATTTAGGAATTGCAAAGAATCTTGCCTAATAGGCTATCTCCAATTACTCAAGGTTTTATATCTCTCGTCTCCATTCTTCACTGGTTTCCAGAGAACAAACCTGTTCTGTACCTGGATTAGGATTATTACACCCAATCAACTTGACGAATAGCATTTTGGGAAGTAGCTTCAAAAATATTTCATTATTCAGCACATTTTCCAATTCTAGCTCATATAGATGATACCATATTGAAAGAAATCTGCCCTACCACAACTGTACTTCAACAATGAAACAAGACTTAATAAAGACAAGAGACATTACTGATACTAATTCATGTTAATTGTTATTTTTAATTCAATGGACTTTTAAAATACCCCACCAGCAATAGTCATATTGCCATGTTGGTACAAACGTTAGCCAACAGCATGTTTTATTAATCTTTTCTACTTTCTGACAAACATAAGTCTACAATCCATAAACTTCATCTCATGATTAAAATGATGTATATCCAACCTATTTAAAATGAGTTAAGATTTCCATTGTTATCACAACCTACATTTTTATTACATCTTTAGCCTCTATTTCTGTCATGCCATGCCTCCAATTTAAGCTACTGTGAAAATAATAAAGCCATATTTATATACAAACCCATAATC